CACACACTTTGACTTTGACCAACATCACAATCACTACAAAGGGGAGGAAATAACAGACAATAGTAAGAAAAAACAAACAATCAAACAAACAAAAGCAATGTAAATACACAACAAAATCCATAAAGATACAACACGAGATGTTTCATCTTTTAAAATTGTACACAACACACATTTTGATTCAAAAAAACAGATGGGTTAGTAAGGGTGAGGTTGGGAAATTATTGTTTTGCCCACCAACCAGAGCAACTAATGAATGTCCCATACTACCAGTCTTATATATATATATATATATATATATATATTGTATAAAAAAGTATATACATAGTTTACACAGTTCATATATTCTGATATATGTATGAACTATTATAAATGCAGTACAATTAAATTATATAATAAAATAAAAAATAAACATTTTTAATGTTGCAAAATGTTCGAATCGAGCGCAGGCAGAATCCCGTAAATAGTGGCGGAGCTTGTCTTTTCAATATGTGGGTGCATGTGAGCGCCTGGGTTAGGTGTGAGCTTCAGTGATTGGGTTAGGCCTATATCAAACAGCTGCAGGAGGAAACTGATGGGAAATGGCCCAAAATTGTCATGATATATTTATTTAGCTAAAGGTATTCTTTATGAGGAATGTACAAAATACCAAGCTGGTTCCAAGTGGACACTTAAATAATAATAATAATAACAGTAGTAGTAAAAAAGTAACAATACCACTCCAGTATTTCTGTAGCTTCTGTAATAGCAACAGTGGTGAACACTTCAACTATTTTCTAGAATTGTTGACTTTAGTCACCAATATGGAATTGTAAAATAAAATATTTCTCACATAATCTTTTTCCTAGTCCATTAAAGGAATAGTTCAAAATGAAACATTGCTGAAAATGTATTCACACTCAGGCCACCCAAGTGTTTATAGTTAGTTGAGTTTGTTTCTTTATCAGATATTTGGATAAATGTAGCATTCCATCAGTGTCTCATCAATGGATGCTCTGCAGTGAATGGGTGCCGTCAGAATGAGAGTCCAAAAAGCTGATAAAAACAACACAATAATTCAAAGGTAATCCACACCACTCCAGTAAACAAATCCATTATCAACACATTTTTACTTTGAATCATTGCTTCTGGCCAAAATAGTCCATAATAATCCATAATAACGCTTCCTTCAGTGGAACAAGTCAATCTCCTGTTCTCTCTCACATATTTGTTTAGAACTGGTTTGGCTTGTAAACACTGTTCAGACGAAATCAGTTCCCTTTCATGGGAACTTCGAACTGCGTCCTCTAGGGGTCGCTATGGGGAACGCCTCGTCGTGACCCGTGTCTGAAGCATACATTGAAAAAAAAAAACATCAACTCGTTGGCCGCCGACAGCCATGACGTCACTACCGGTGCGATTATAGTATAAATAGGCGCCGGGAGCACACATCATTCTCTTCTTCGTCTTCATTGACTGTTCTGTTTGAAGCGTGCATTTCCAAGGAAAAAGTAAGAGCTATTTCTATTCATTATGGCGAGCACTAGCAGAGCATTTAGAAGGTGTGTGCGTCCGTGTCAGGGAACCATGGTTACATAAGTAACCTGAGACGTTTTTCATCAGAGAAAGCAATATTATGGACAGAGGACTATTTTAGCTGGAAGGAAAAAATAAATGTCTTGATGACAACAAAGATTTGTTTCTCACAAACACGCAGCTTTTGGCTTCACAATATGTTAATTATGGACTGGAGTGGTGTGGATTATTTGTTGATTATTGTGATGTTGATCAGCTGTTTATCAGCTGTTTGGACTCTCATTCTGACGGCACCCATTCACTGCAGTGGGTCCATTGGTGAGACACTGATGGAATGCTACATTTTTATAAAGACAAGTACTAAGCAAAAATCAAGCACCACTGAAAATTTAAACAAACAGCCAATCAGAAATGTCTCTTCTTCAAAATATCTTCTTCTCTTCAAAATATAATCAAATATTTTATTGCAAGTAGGTGCTAAGGTACTAAGCAATTCTGGTCAAAGGCCAGTCATAGGCATTACAGTGGCTTGCATATACGGAAAAATAACCTCTTTGGCAGGTTGCAGGTATTAATTTCCCACCTTGGTTAAAGTGCAAAAATAAATAAATAAATAAACACACACACACACACACACACACACACATATGAAAACAGAAGAAAAGGAAATCTTGCTGTAATATCAATGTAATATTGAGCATTTGTCTCATTATTATACTGCCTATTTCTGTTTTTAAACTGTATACCATTCTAAAACACTAAACACACTAAATGATTGAATCTCACAAAACAGTCCACAGCATTTCTTGGTCATATTCAGATATTTAAAATGAAAAAAAAAAAAAGAAGAAAAGAAAAAAAAAATCAATTGCAGCATTCTTTCTATTTTTGTTTATCATATTTTTAATGTATAAAGGTTTCTAAACTGCATAAAATTGCATTAAAAAACTTTCTTACACTTTGTGTGTGTGTGTGTGTGTGTACACACACACACACACACACACACACACACACACATATGAAAACAGAAGAAAAGGAAATCTTGCTGTAATATCAATGTAATATTGAGCATTTGTCTCATTATTATACTGCCTATTTCTGTTTTTAAACTGTATACCATTCTAAAACACTAAACACACTAAATGATTGAATCTCACAAAACAGTCCACAGCATTTCTTGGTCATATTCAGATATTTAAAATGAAAAAAAAAAAAAGAAGAAAAGAAAAAAAAAATCAATTGCAGCATTCTTTCTATTTTTGTTTATCATATTTTTAATGTATAAAGGTTTCTAAACTGCATAAAATTGCATTAAAAAACTTTCTTACACTTTGTGTGTGTGTGTGTGTGTGTGTGTGTAATAAGCCGTAATGTACAATGTTTTAAACAAACAAACAAACAAATAAACATCCAGATGTATTGTGGTATAAAGAATGTGGGGGGAATGTGGTTAAATCTTGATGGTCCAAAAAATAATATATATCTTATTATTTTTTATTAATTACTTTTATTCAGAAAGGATGATGCATCAAATTGATCTGACTTTCTATTTAAAAAAAACTGTAATAAATAAATTAACCAAGAATCATGAAAAAAAGTATTAAGCAGCACTACTGAAAATTAAGTTTCCCATTACATCAATTACATTTTAAATTATATTGAATTATCAGATAGAAAACTGTTATAATATTTCACAATATTATTGTTGTAACTGTATTTTTTATCAAATAAAAGCAGCCTTGGTCAGCTTCTTTTGCATAGTGGTGCAAAGGAAATCTGACCTGGACATTTCAAATTTGTGAGTTTCAACCCAAATGGCCGTTTATCATCACACTTTTAGAGGTGTGATGATATTTGGGCGCCCCTGTGTGCCCGCACAACAGAGACTGTACAGCACTGTACGCACCTTCCCACGAACTCCCTGACTGGCCCATGAGGAGCCGATCGTGATGCCCATAATAATTAAGCAGATACAGACAACACAACGGAGGAGCTGCAGAGAGACGGAGACTGTGTAACCAGCAGAGACATGCACATACACGCTCACACATGAGGGACACTGATGGACGGGGCACGTTTCTGTGATGTCTGGGGCCCTGTGATGTCTATAATGCGATTGGTGCTGGTCCTAATGATGGAGTTTCTAGGCTTAATGAGTATGTGGTGAAGGACTGGAAGACTAAAAAGAAAAGAAAATTTCTACAAATAAATGGATGAACAAATGTCTATTTGCAAATGACAAAATGCTACTGAACCTGAGCCGGCTCAGGAGACAAGCTGACAAACTCCCTCTCTGAAGCCTCAGTTGTCATCTCACATGTTTTGATGTAGAAGTAGTTAGTTAGTTAGTTTTTTTATTTTATTTTTCTGACTAGGAATAAATAGGAATAGTTCTCCCAAAAATGAAAATTCTATTCTATCATTTAATCACCCATGTTGTTCCAAATCGGTATTATTTCACATATCTAATGGAGACAGGCAGTGATGTTGGCAGTCATATTTATGCCAACTGTGTGAAAATGTGCCTTTGTCTCTTTGGTGTGGATTTGTGCAGAGAAGAATTGTTCTGGATTTAACCATTTTGAAATGTGAAAAATAGCATAGGGCCTAAATGAGGCAAATGAACCAGGTTTTTGATACTTTCATGGGGGTTTGTGCCTTTTTTTCTTTTCTTTTTTTTTTTAGCTTTTTTAAGGTTTTGTTCTTTGTATGTGCTGGAAAAGAGCAACCTCATTTCGAAAGACGTGAGTGAGAAAATGTTGACAGACTGTTCATCTTTGGTTGAAATATCGATAAGCTTTTGAAATAAACAGTGTCGTTTGGTTTAAAGGGATTGTTCACCAAAAATGAAAATTCGACCACACTTTATTTTAAGGTCTCACTAATTCTCACTAATAACTATCTATTAACTATGACTTTTGCCTTAATAAACTAGCGAGTGTAGTGAGTGACCTGGCACGTG